GGTAAACTGTGGTCAATGTCATGAGACAAAGTGTATGTGAACTGCTGTATGGAAAGTGAATTTGCTCTGTAAATCTTCACCCAAATCACAATAAAATAAAATAAAAAGAATGTTTACTAAGCTTGGTCTACAAGAATGCCTTTCTCTCAAGCATGCTCCCACATATAAAATGTTAAGAAATAGAATTAGAATTGATAATATTTAGATAGAGCTGTAAATACCTCATTACTCTGTAACCAGGGTGAAGCAAACACCAATGAACCAAGTCTGTGTTACCTTCAGATACAGAGAGGTAGACTGAAGCAGTGATAGAAAGTTAGCACCTGGCAGATGCTTTGTTAAACTCTCAGGATGTAACAAGCTTAAAATGTAACAACAAAAAATGTAACAAATGTAACAACAAAAAAAAGTTTAAGAAAACGTTTTAACTAGTAGTTTAACCGATCATTTGCAAATTTTCTATGGTTCTTCCCCACCTCTGTGCCTATCTCTAACCAAATAAAAGCCATTTGGTCTCTTTCTTTCTGTCTCCTTCTCTCTGCAATGTACAGCATATTGCAGCTTTCTCTATGAATGCTAGTATGTTTCTCCTCCCCGCAATCAGCTTTAATAAAATATGTTTAACAAAAAAGAAAAACAGAAATGCAATATAATTTTTAAATATTTGTAAATTAGGACACAAAAGGAATGCAAATCATACTTACACCAATACATTATTTCATGATTAAAAGTAGCTCAAATCTAGTAACCACAAACTGTGTTAGTGGATTTCTCTTCCTATTAGAATTAATATTTTAACACTACCTGATGGATTCCCTTTTTAAAAAGAACCTACCACTGAATTTTTAAAAATTGTTTAGTAAATGAATGCCTCAAATGGTACAAACTACATAGTTAGATTAAGAGAAAATTCTGGGAGAAGTGGTGATAAAAAATACTGAAGAAAATTATCAATTAGTACACATTAAAAATTCTCCCATTTTCTTCATGGTTCTGATACTAAGATACTCTTAAGAGTTTCTGCAAAAGATGATATTCTGCATACTATAAATAAACCTTAAGAAACCAAACTCTTTGTAACTGCTTTCTTCCATATGTGGTTTACATTAAGTTAGACAGACTTAATCCACTTTTACATATGTTGCAACCCAAAAGACCTAATCTGTGGAAATGACAACACAATCTGGAATGAAAACATTGGGAGTTGGTTAACTACTGCTTACCAAATATTTTTCCCATTCCTACTTCTGTTTTCCCCAAGATTTTCTATTTTAAACACACACAACTGGAGCTAATTTTTCTCCAGATATCAAATTGGTTATTTTTGCATAAGGAAGTACTGAATAACAAAATATTCCCAATTTGAAAATTCATAGTTTTGTTAGGAAGTAAGAACAGGGAAAAGGCCCCAACACCATTCTGTGTCAGAAACCCTCTAAACAGACCAATGGCAAAACAGATGCAGTGCTAAAATTACAAAAGGGAATTTCCTGGGACATTTTCCCACCTGGGCATGACCAGTTGTGCACAGATGGCCTCGAAGTAACCTAGATTCTCATTACCATGCAATTACAATGCAATTGTAATAAATCTGCATTGTGGTTTTGAACCCCTTGGTGGACAATCAAGGAGTACTATGGGAAAGTTAAAATGGCTGAACAGGAAAGGTTAGCTATATCAGGAAAGAAAACAGAAGAAGGGATGGGATTGGTAGAATGTAATACCAGTAGGTCCTGCCAAAATCCAACCCCTGATTTTTAGAAAATATAACTCTTGTAGCTGAGAGAGCTCGGGGCTGCTCCTTCTTTAGGAAAATGCCCACTCTCTACCCTGTTGAGAGTGTACTTTTTGCTTTAATAAAGCTTATGTGTGTTATGTTGAAGCTTCCTACTGGGTTTTTGCTCTCCTTGCACTGGACCTGAGAATGCTTTTCTCAAGCAAAAGCTGCTGCTGTGTGCTGTCTTTGATTCTTCAAGGTAGTGTGCAGCCAAACCAGAGCTCTCCCAAGTTAACAGTTTCAAGGAATGATCTTAATTTTTATAGTCTGTTTTCAGTTTATTAAAAGAAAAGCCAAGAATCCTACTTTATTATTAAACATAAGAAATGGCAGGTAGGAAGGTTGGGCAATCTACTTCCATAGTGATACTGCCAGGAAACCCAAGGAGGGGTCACTATGAGTCAGGTCCAACTCAATGGCACATAACAACAACAACAGCTAAGAAAGTTATTTTGATCAAGCTTCGATAATGAGACTACTATAAAATTACTTTTACAAATGTGGAACTATCTTTTTTTTTTTTTTTTTTTTAAGGGGAAGGGAAACGAGAAGGAAAAAGCAAATGGAAAAGACACACAAAATGGCAGACAGGTATATATGTAACTGTGCATTCAGTTAATGATTTTGGTCACTTTTTTGTAACATGGTATTTTCTTACATCAACTTTTACTACTCCTATAATAAAAGATTATATTCAAGACAAATTTGATAATACATTCATTTCAAGTTTTCATAATATATGTGCAATTCTAATCATAAAGTCTCTGTAATACATTTGCCCATTTTCATAGACGAACATAATACACAAACTCACAAAAGTCTCCTGTTATGCTCTTAATTTTCCCCAGATCTGCTATTATCTTCACAGATATCCAATGAAGCCCACAAGGCAAGGTACTGTAACTTTTGGAATCTATCCAAATTTTAAAGAAAAACACCTAGTAGCAATTTCATAAAATATGGAAAATATCAACCCTTTACTTTCTTTTGCTTTTTGTGTCAGTTGTTTCTACAAGCAGACATGAGGCTTTCTATATATTTTCCAAGAACTTAGTTTTCTGATTTTAGTTTCAGATTTCCTTTCTTAACTGAATCTACTCTTGCAGAGAGATCTTCAATTGTGCACTAGAGTTCTAACATTTCATCGATAAGTCATGTTCTTCCCTATAGTTCCAACTGATTTCTAGCATCAACTGCATCCATGTCAGCATTTATCACCTTAGGGAACAAACTTTTGGGCCTTGGATACAAAATCCTCGATGAATGATCTGTTATGTGAGGCATTAGGAAGGGGAAGGATTGAGAGTACATCTCAGGCCCAGACACTTGGATCACCAGACCTATGTTGATCCTTTTTGTACAATGCTTTTATTTTTCAACAGAATTGTTTGTGCTTAATTCTAATAGAGCATAAGTCTGATGTGTGATAACTGAAATAATTTATATAAAAGTATCTAAATTATACAAAACAAAAACCAAAAACCAAACCCACTGCCATCGAGATGACTTCAACTCATAGTGACCTCCATTGGGTTTCCAAGGCTGTAAATCTTTATTTTACAAAAGTAGATTGTCTCATCTTCCTCCTATGGAGCATCTAACTGGAGGGTTTTAACTGCAGACCTTTGGTTAGCAGCCTGATATCTTACCCACTATGCCACCAGAGCACCTTATAAATTATATAATATATATAATCATAAAATGTATATAAAAATAATCTTTCAGGCATAGCTCTAAGGTACAAAGCACATAGTTAATATTTTCAGTATTTGCAATGAATGTGCAATTTTTATTCGAAAAGAACTAGCTATATGGAATTCTAAACTTTTATTGTAAGGTAAAATAATACTACAAAAATAAAAAGAATAAGATTTATTCAACAGGATGGTTGACTAAGAGTTCAAATAAAAGTAGAATGTTAGTGCTGGAATTTCCAACATGTAGGTCATAAGTTCCTGAGAAGTCAGAAATGAAAATAATGTTGTGTGGACCAACACTGTCTAATGCCAATTTTTAAAGACTACCAGTAATTGGCTAATTTAAAAATCAGTTTACTATGAAATATTTTTCAAAAGTGTCTCCTATTTCTAAGTAAGAAGCAGTATACCTCACTTTCCTTCTCAGGATGTTTTTCAACCCACATTCTTGGGAGAAAGGCATCAGACAAACCGATGTGGAGAGAAAATCCGCTGCTGTCTAAAGAGCTACCTTCCACAGTGCTAATTACAGCTTTGCAGTCTGTGCGCTACAAAACAAATAACAATGACAACAAAGTAAATAATATTTTATATATGGATTAATAACGTATTATCAATTTGCATTTATTTACCCATCAAGTAGGAAACACTAGTCATTTGCAATTAACAAGCAATTACATTACATTAACTTCTAAAAAATAACAATGGAAGCTAGAAGACAATGCCTTTAATACTCTGAGAGAAAATAATTTCCAAACCAGAATTTTATTCCCTACTGCATGATCCACTGCAGTATGGATATAAAGATATTTCCAGATATTACTGCTCAAACATTCTTGCTCAGAAAGTTAATGAAGGGTGTGCTCTGTAAAACCGAGAGACTAAAGCAATAAACAGGGGGTGGGGCGGGGAGAGTAAAAGGAGCTACTGAACAGTAGTAATCAGGCCAGGTGGAGCACAAAGACTTAAGGGAGGGTGGTCTCGAGGGAAAATATAAAGTGATGACAATCCGATGATTTAACCATACGAAAAACAGTACTGAGAGAGGTCTTTACCACTGTGTTAGACTGTATGAGAAGAATTGTGGATAGATTCCTAGAAAACTAAGCAAAGGAAAAGGTGGAGGTATTTTTCAAGAAATATCACATGAAGATATAAAAGTATGTAATCATAATACAGTTCTTGGCTCAGTGGTAAGCAATCTTCACAAAGTCATAATAACTTAAATACTGACTATGGCTTTAACCAAAATTGTGATGTAACTCTTTTGCACCAAGGGGATAGAAAAAGTAAGGAGTGAGGTGACTGAAGGGGGAACAAAACAAACAAACACACCCACTGCCATCAGGTCAATTATGATTCAAAACAACCTTTTTGGACAGAGTAGAACTGCCCCCATAGGGTTTCCAAGGCTATAAATCTTTATGGAAGCAGACTGTCTCATCTTTCTCCCATGGAGTGGCTGGTGGGTTTGAACAGGTGACCTTTTGGTTAGCAGTTGAATACTTTAACCACTACAATACCAGAGCTTATTATAATAGATAATCAAAAGATAAACTCTGAAACAGATCAATGAAGAAACAGAAGTAAAAACCTTTTTATTTAAAACTGGAGTAAATACCATATATACAGACATACACACACACACACACACACACACAAAGAAAAAATATATATATATAATGTAAGTATTTATTAGGTTTCATGACGAGATTATAAACTGAATGCCATCAAAGCAAGGTCACAACAGCATTTACTTATGGAAATATATGAACTTCTAAAATACATGAATATGGGGATAATTTATGGTCATTTTGACAAAGACTGTCAACTATGCGTGTGTTTATATATGCATATGTGTGTGTATGCTGAAGAAACAACTAAAATATTCTAAAGTGGTTTAGTCTCTGGGTGTTGGTAGGGTACAGGCAGGGCAGCATGGAACTGCTTATTATTTTCTGAAGTGATTGTTAGTATTACTTGACTTTTTAAACTATGCGCATGCATTGCTTTAACAAAATAAAAGTAAGTTTAAAATAAGAGTTCTTAAGAAATAAAACAAAGATTTACTAACCTTTTGTTTCAGTTTATGTGTATCACTAGAAATGAATTCAATCACGTATGGCATCTCAATATACACACTTAAAGAGAAGCTACAAAACATGAAGAGAAAATTATCATAGGCTAGTATCTTAATGTTTTACTTTTACTTATTTCAAATAATTTTAATGAAATTTTAACAATAAAACTAATGTCCATTAAATGATTAATTGACAGGTTTTATATTTTAGTTACTAACCTTTGTTTTGTCCCTATTTTCTCTATGCAAATCTTCTCCACGCTATCCTATAAAAAGAAAAAAATATATATATGTGTGTGTGTTTGTGTGTATATTTATATATATACATATATATATATATATATGTATATATATATATATATGTATGTATCTTTATTAGGTTTCATGATGAGACCTGTGCTCTGTGCCTATAAAGATCCTTTTATTAAACCTTGGATAGGGCAAAGACAATCATCCAAGATTAGGGAAACCATCAGCACATACACAGTACAGAAGCCTAAAGGAGTCCACTGAAGCACAGTCAGGATGTTCATTATATTTGATCAAGTACAAAGGAAACCATCACAAGATCGTAAGTGGTAGCAAGTTAATTCACCAGTGTTGCAAGTGGAACAACAGAAGTGGAGAAAGGACCTACACAACTGAAGATTCAAAAGGGATACAAGATTTTGTTCTGTGGTTTGATCACCTGGCTACATGGTGGTCAGGGTATGACTTGTAAACAAGCTGCCCTGAATCACAGCCACACGGTGGCTACAAGACAATACCAGGACCCCAACTTTAATATAGAAAAGATAACATAGGCTATTTTTAGTAAGGCATTAAGGACACATCCAAGCAAGTTCCCTTGTTCGTTCTTCTGTGAGCATAACCTACGTTCAATCATACTCTTCCTGAGAGCAAATTGCTCCTCCTTAGTTTTGTCCCGAACTATTCTAAGCAAGGCCACATTGTTCATTTAATGAATAGAAAAAACACAAATGGCATCTGAACTTCTATCAAGATTCAGAATGAAGGTAGGTCTCCCACTGTAGACTGCAGCCTTCCACAAACAAGTGCTTTAGAATTCAAGCCCTCATAGAGAGTCTAAGCTGAGTGCAATCTAAACAAGGCCACAGAAGCATTTGTTCCTGGAATGACAGTAATTTCTAAAATAGAACAAGATGGGGGATAATTTATGGATATTTGACAAATATTTTCAATCATGCATTTGTGTGTATGTGTGTGTGTATATATATATATATATACATAGGTGAACAATTTATACAATTATCTGCAAAGCAAGAATATTCTGGAAGAATATATATCCAAGTATTAACTAGTAATTATCTCTTCATGATAGAATTAAGGATGGTTATTATTTTTCTCTTTTGGCTAATCTGCAATCTCTATGCTTATATACCAATCCTGTTAGTTTGTCATACTGCGGTACCTTGCATGTGATTGTAAAGCTGGAAGCTATGCCACCAATATTTCAAATATTAACAGGGCCATCCATGTGGACAGGCATGGGTGGTAGATCTTAGAAAAATCAAGGGTGGCAGTTCAAACCCACCAGCCACTTCTCGGAAGGAAGGTTGGGCAATCTACTTCCGTAGTGATACTGCCTCGGCAACCCAAGGAGGGTTCGCTGAGTCCGGTCGGACTCGATGGCACATAACAACAGCAGCAGCAGCATATATGAATAGGATGACTTCAGACCTAAATCAAAATTCCATTTTATTTATTTTTTAAAATTTTATTGTGATTTGGGTGAAAAGTTTACAGAGCAGATTCATCTTTCATACAGCAGTTCACATACATTTTGTCTCATGACATTGACTGCAATCTGCCACAATGCAACAGCTCTCTTCCCAATGCTTCCCCATAGCCCCCTCTTCCCTGGGTCCTTCCCTCCCATACACTGCTGCCCTCAGAGTTGTCTCCCTGTGCATACATAGACCTTTATTCTCCATGATTGATCTTTCCAAGGAGTGTATCTACCTAATGTGAAAGTTTAGCTCATATGTCTGCCTTATGTTTGACTAGAAGCCATAGGAGCAGGTTCAATTCTAGACCTGAAGGGCAGCTAGGGGCCACAGTCTCAAGGGATCCACC